AATAAGAGTCTCACGCTGACTAGTTAGTAGCAAATAAAACTCATTAGTCCAACTTGCCAGGTGGTAATTTGTTGGCAACAAACTTAGTGTGGAAGACACAGACAAGCCTCTGAAAGAACAAACCATTAACTGTGGATCCTTGCAGCATTTTCCCCATGTAGGTTGTGAAACCTACCTTTTGCCCCTGGCTCTTAAGGCTTCACTGTGCTGAGATTTTTGAATTGGCAAGCAAATGGAAGGGGCGCACACGGCATGAGGCCAGCCCAATGGACGCTGCTACTGAGCCATATTTGCATCTCAAAACAACCTGTACCACCATTGCTGTGAAGTAATTGTTTTCTGCAGCTCTCTGCAAGGGGGGCAAAATTTGACTTTAACCTCTGTATGCTTAAGAAGCCCATTCCAGTGGCAAGGGAGACCAAGCTGTGCACTCCTAGGGGAGGGAGGGTCTTGACCACTGCTACCAAGAGGAAGTGGTGAGTAGTGTGGTTGGCTACTCCCTGCTGCAGGGCATGAAGACAGCCATCAGCTGGGCTAATCTGTTGGCTCTGGAGATCTGCTGCCTGCAGAAGCCCATGTCTGAGACGTTGCAGGAAAATTGCTCAGCCTTCCCAACTCTTTGACTACTATCCTATGTTGCTCATCCATGGGAGCACTAACGATACTGCTACAGGCAACCTTGAGCAGATGAAAGTAGCTTTGGGTACAAGGATGGAAGGTACGGGGGTGGAGTTCTTATCAATCCTTCCAGTCAAGGGTAAAGGCCCAGCTAGGAGTAGACACAACCTGGACATTAACACGTGGCTGCAGAGATGGTACTGCCAGCAGGGCTATGACTTCTTTGACCACAGGGTGATGTTCCAGAAAGATGGACTGCTAAGAAGAGATGGTGGGCCACCTGATGAAGAGGGGGAGAAGTATCTTTGCATGTGGGCTTGCTAACCTAGTGAGGAGTGCTTTAAACTAGGTCTACCAGTGAATGGAGACAAAAGTGTGTCAGATGTGTTGGGGACAACATTTTGACGCAGACGGTAGAGGCCAACTGGGGGGTGGAACGGATCTCTTCTTGACTTACTGCCCACAGACAGATATTGGTTGAGAACGTGGAGGTGGAGAGTAACTTGGGTGATAGTGACCACTAAATGACAGAGTTCAAGATCCTAACAGAAGAAAGGAAATCCATATAATAAGGACACTAGACTTCAGAATAGCTGACTTCGGGAAACTCAGAAAACTAGTGGGCAGGATTCCCTTGGAGGCAAGTATAAGGAGAAAAGGAGTCCAGGAGAAATGCCTGTAGTCTTAAGGGTGCATGACCAAGCTATCCTGATGGGCAGAAGAATGGGAAGTGCAACAGCAGAGGTGCCTGGCATCTCTTCAATGAATCAAAACTCAAAAAGAAAGTCTATAAAAAGTGGAAACTTGGTCATAGTACTAGGGAAGAGTATGCAAGGCACAGTTGGAAATGCAGCTAGTAAGTGACATAAAAGACTCTACAAAGGGATTCTGCAAGTATGCAGAAAGAGAAAAACCATAGGTCCCTTACAGAATGCAAAAGGCAATCTAGTTATAGATGATGCCGAGAAGGCTGAAGTATTTAATTCTTTTTTTACTTTAGTCTTAACAAATAGGAGCAGGTACCAGATGATGAATGCAGGTGGTAACAAGACAGGAAAGGAGACAAGCAGCCTAGAGTAATGCAGAACAAGTTGGGGATTACTTAGAGAAGCTAGGTTCCTTAAAATTGACGGGCCAGATGGGATGCAACCCAGGGTACTGAAGAACTCATGGAAGTTGGGTAAGGTCCCAGATGACCAGAAAAGGGAAAAAACAGTGCCCATCTTGAAGAAAAGAGGATCTGGGAAATTATAGACCAGTCACCCTGACTTTGATATCTGGAAAGATAATGGAGCATGTCCTCAAGGAATCCATCACGAAGCACATAGAGGAAAACAATGTGATCAAGAGAAGCCAGCATGGATTCACCAAGACCAAGTCACGCCTGACCAACCTGATTTTCTATTTTCTTCTGTGATATGGTGACAGGCTCTGTAGATTTGAGGGGGGAGGGGGGAAAGCAAGGCTTTAGTGAGGCTTTTGATACGGTCTCCCATGACATTTCTATTAATAAGCTAAGGAAATACAGATGAGATGAAAAACCTGCATCAGGCACACAACTTGTTAGATTATCATAATCAGTGAATAGTCATCACTGGCTCAATGTCTAATTAGGAAGAGGCATCAAGTGAGGTTCTCCAGGAGCCTGGCCAGGACTGGTATTGTTTAATATTTTCATTAATGACATAGACAATGGGATCAAGTGCATACTTAGCAAATTTACAGATGACACCATGTTGGGTGGAGTTGCAGATACTTGGGAGATACTAGGATCCAGAATGACTTGAGTAGACTGAAAAAATAGTCCACAATCAATCAGATGAGATTCAACAAGGACACGTGCAAAGTCCTGAACTTGGGATGGAATACTTATATGCACAAATACAGACTGGGGAATGAGTAGCCGAGAGGGACCTGGGGGTTATGGTAGACCACAAGATGCATATGAGCCAACAGTGTGCTCTTGTTGCAAAAAAAGCAAGCACCATACTGGATTATATTAACAGGAGAGTCATTTGCAAATTAAGGGAAGTGATTGTTCTGCTCTTTTCAGCACTGGTGAGAGCTCATCTGGAGTACTGTGTCCCATTTTGGGCCCCGTACTTCAAGAAGGAAGTGAACAGTTTGGAAAGAGCCCAGTGCAGATCAACAAAAATGATTAGGGTTGTGGGAGGCAAGGCTTATGAGGAAAGGCTGAAAGAACTAGCAATGTTTAGTCTGGACAAGAGAAAACTGAGTGGGGATTTCGAAACAGTCTTCAAACACAGCACTTGAAGGGTATTTTAAAGAGGATGGGGATAGCCTTGCCTCTGTGGCTATAGGGGACAAAACTAGGAGCAATGGCCTCAAACTGGAACATAGGAAATTTAGGTTGAAGATTAAGAACATTCTGACTATGAGGGTGGTCAAGCATTGGAACAAGGCTTCATCCCTGGAAAGAGAAGGTTACACAAATCACTTGATTGGGACAGTTTAGTAAAGGATGATCCTGCCCTGAGCAGGGAGCTAAACTAAATGATGTCATGAGGTCCTTTCCAGCCTTATTTTCCTATGATCCTTATTTTTAAAATCTATCCCAGTCTCATGGGAACTATTAAAGGCCCTCTGCTCTTGCAGATCATGATGTTTTTGGAAAACTAATGCAAATAAGGAAAAAGCAATGTCTGCTTATATCAGCTTTATATGAAGCTATAGCTTCCTGTATTTGCCATGGAGGCATGCTAACAGATTACTTAAGCTACAGATTTTCCAGCTCTTCCTTAAAGTGGATCAGGCTAACTTTTCTTCCTATACCCACTGGGTAATATTGTCTGGAGAACTCAAGCTTTTTGGCCTCTCCTTTTAAAAAAAAGAAGCAAACAAAAAGTAACAGCAGCGTTAGAAAATTCACTACTGGAACTTTTCTCTCGGAAACACAGTTGTCTCTGGTAAACTCTTGTAACTTTAGATAAATCTTTTGTAAGGCAAGAGAGGCCCCAGAGATTATGACTTACCTATAGCTAGGGGTTCCTAATTCAAAGTTAGACAAAACTGAGGACAAAGATTTCAGAGGCACCTGTAAAAAAACATGTGCACTGACATTTAATATTTGTTCTTCAGTCCATATGAGTGTCCTGGAACAAGTGCAGAAGGCAGCATGTGCTTCTATGCTGCACATAACTTTTGAGTATCTTCAAGGAATGCAGGCCCATTCCAAAGCAAGAGGAGGAAGAAACTCTTGAGGGTATCTACATTAAAGTACTTGCATGCTTTTGATTTCAAGGAACAGACAACGCATGAAAAGGGAGAGAGGACCATGGCTCTGTTTCTGATCAACACGTTTTCTCAGATCTGTTGGCTGCAATTTGTTTCACAAGCTTAAATTCCCTAAACAACTTGTAAAAATAAAGTTCTTACTGTATTTTTTTGGCTCCTAAGCAAGGTGACCAACCCTACCCCACACTGTTTGGGTTTTTTTTAATTCATCTCATTTGCTGTTACAGGCAAATGGTACAAAAAAAAGTGTACAATGATTTTTTGTTTCTATTTAATTCATTCCAGCTGAGTTGACTGCAGGGGCATTCTGGAAGATGCCCACAGGAACAGTGGACCGGATCCTCCTTTAGGCTTCTATACACAGCTTAAAGGCAGCATAAAGGAACCTAAAACACTCATTTTGAATGCCATAGCCATGTAAAAGGATGCAAGGAGAAGTAGACCCAAAATCTATAAAATCAGAGCTGGTGCAGCACACTGGGTATCTCCTTTTCATTCAATATGACCATATCCAAACAAATTTCATTTAAGTATAACCATGGCTACGAGTCCACAGGGTTAGTGCAAAAATATCTGGAAATATTATGAAGAGGTTGTACAACAATTGCTCTTGTATACTATATGTGAGAAGTAAGGGTATTTTGGTGTCATCTTTTATTAGGATAACTATAGTTGGGAGAGATGTTACAAGCTCTGGTGCACAGTGCCCTTCTATATCTGATATGATAAGAGATCTCTCCAAAACCCCCTTGCTTCCTGTATACTACCCACACTATCATGGCTACAACAATACTTCTAATCTACAACTATAAATCTTAATGCTTTCCATCCAGTCTAAAAGAAAATATCAGCAAGGTTTACAGGCAGTAAGAAAATTTTCCATTTGACACTAGAGAAATGTGCCACATCTGCCATACGAACCTTGGAAAGTGTAACAGATTAATGTTTTAATCTGCTGTCTTTACATGATCTTTAATTCATCTTACTCAAATTAGCTATGCTCAAAGTGCAGTCTTCAAAAAACCAGCATTTCCCGGGTTTGGTTAAAGATTAAGCAAGATGTTTCCTAGAGAAGGTGAACTGAGATAGTTTGGGGAAAGAAAAGAAAACTGTATAAGAGAAGCACGTTTAAAATGTGTTAAGAAATATTAGTTTTATTTTAACCAGTTTTCACAGCTGAATATTTATTCTATAAAAACTTTACAGATTGTACAGTTTATATATAGTTCAAACTACTAGAACAAAAAAGTAGGTCCCACAGATGCAAAAATACTGTACCAATCAAAGGTAAAGGCAGATTTACACACTGTACAGCTCTCCACTAGGAAGGGCAGGTGGTCAGTTCCAAGTATAAACTTCAAAACTGTACAAAAATAAGGTTTGATATTTTTTCATTCTTCATAATACATTCAATAAGATTGCAAGTGCAGATACCCAAGTAATAATAGATATCTGCAGTCAGGAATCAGTAATCACTCCTGAAAGGAATGCAAAATAGGTCTATTTACACTGGGCACTCTTTTACACCATACTGTTTATATAGTGTATATTTAAAATAATAAAAAAGCATAGACAAAGAACATTAAACATCTAATATAAGGTAGTTTTTTAAAGGAGTTTTTTGTACTTAATAGTGTGCCAAAAGAATTTTAACTTATTAAATAATATATTCTAAGTGAACCTAAAAATTTATGAACATAAAATGCATTTTTGGTGTAATACATCAATTAAACCAGCAAATAGGAAAAAAAACTGTATATAAAGTAGTATTCTCACCCAGCAACAGAAGCACTTATGTAGTTATAAAAAAATCAGAAAGACTATTTAAAAACCCACTAAAACTAACTTATAACTTAGGATATTCATATATAAGATATTCAGTGATTCACTAATACTGCAAAACAAGCTTTTTTTCTCCTCCCCCCACCCCCCATAAGAGACAGTGGTTTCTTCATGCTATCTGGGTAAGAATTAGACATGTTCCCTCCCAAAAAAGGACAGAGTGTTTCCTTAGCATAAATCCTGAGCACACTCATTTTTTCGGGACATGTAGGTGATTAAAACTTTCATTACAGGTTTTAATTCTCAAACAAAAATTATTTAGAATGTTTCATTATTTGAGGTATTTCAACCTTCTTCTTAGACAATGCCTTATGTCTTAACTAACTGGTTGGGCAGTGAAAGTAAGGGCTGGCTAATACCCGTTTTGATTCTGCATTCTAATGAAAAATCATTATTCCAGACTTCCCTGCCACATAGAAAATAATGCAACATATTTCACTTTTTCCCCATTTTTGATACAGTACTAGCCAATGATAACAAAAAACTAGAGCATCAAAGAGATGTTTGGTAGTGCACTCCATTATAATTTTAGTTTGTGTATATAAAGATATATATATATATAGGGAGAAAGGAATTTTGTTCATTTTTTTTTAAGATACAGTACTTTAAAACCCCCATCAATAAAAAGTGGGTTTTTCTAATCCTATTCCCAAGCTCTGAGCTATGGGTGAGTTTATATTAGGTTTTCAAAATTAATTTGGGCCTCTCTGTGCCCTTAGCTGTCCAAGCAAATACAAATTCCAGTGTCAATGTGCATTTCATCAGAACTCATCAATTTTCCTCTGCAGGTATTTTAACATAGAGTCCATCCCTTGTGCAGAGCCCCAGATTTTCTTTAAAACTTCACACTCCTTTTCATTTGCTTGTTCTAAGTCCACCTTCATGACATTACGGACTAAAGCTTTGGATTCTTCAAGTACCTAAGTCAAAAAACAGAATTAGTGCTCTGTGACTTTACTAGCAAAACAATTTGTTCACCCATAGATGGATACAGACAATTCTAATGTTGTTAATAAAAATGATGCATGTGAGTCTATGGAACAAAATGCCTCAAAGACCTTTCCATGAAGTGCTAGAGGGACTTCTTGGTTTTGTACCCAAGTAATTAATAAAAGCTGACACATCAACCTAATAAATACAGCTTGATGTTAACAGAGTAATCTTGATATCCATACAAACATGGACTTCAGAGGTGATCTTCATGGGAAGCAACTTATTATATCCCATATGGCATCATACTCTGCAGGAATGCTCTAAAGATGACCAGAAATACCTTAAGTTTAAATAATAATAAGACAGCAGCCCAAGTAATTTAAAATTTAATCTTAAAATTAAGATACACTTAGTTGTTTTTGGACTATTCATTTGTCCTCCTTAGGCAAACATTTCACAAGCATGAAAACAAAATGAAGTCTATTCATTCTGAAACTTGCCTATTATTTACCCAATCTGCACATCAAATGGTGACGGTGAAATTCTAGCAGCCAGGCCTGCAACTGTCACCAGTGCACTTGAGCAGGAAGGCTTTTGTAGCTTCTTATAATTTGTATCTTGAGTAACCAACAAATATTACTTAACTAATGGTGTGTCGAAGATTTCAATCTCATGATCTGCATATGCTGGTATATTTGTTTGTTACTGTATATGATAAATGTTTGGAAAAACTTGTCACTATGGCATTATTAGGCAGTGCACTGAAGATCCTCAACAGTGCCCTACTAACTTGTGCACAAAACAGCTTGGCTAACTTGTCATCTGTTGAGATATAATCAGTCGTGTACAGGCAATATCACAATGGAATTTACTCCTGATAATATGTCTACTTGAAAGGTACTGTGCCCTCCACAGCATCTCACAAAGCACTTGAAGCTCTTTAACTTTCCTTGGCTCAGGCAGATTATTACTTGATATTCTTAATTCTAGAGTTGACTGTGGTATGTGACTTTGTAACAGTCCAATATCATTAAGGAAAAGAGAGGTGTTAGAAAGTGGAACAGCATCAAAACTTGGGACTCCAATCACCAAGCTTTTACATTTATCCTGAAACGTCTTTCTAGAATGAGGAGTAAAATGATTAATCTCTCTATAATATGCAAGAAAACAAATGAAACTTACAACTGAATTACATGTGACGAGTTCCTTAATTCGAACCATGACTTCCTGTGTAAATGTCCCTGGCCAAAACACTTGAGAGACTAGTCCTTTTGCACAAGCTTCCTGTGCAGTCAGCTTCCTTCCACTGAACAACATTTCATTTGCCTGGAGAGAGAAAAAGTTGTTGCTCAGATTAAAAAGAACAAGACAGAAAATGTTCAAGCCACAAAACAAATGGAAACCCTCCCCCCTCCCCCCCAAACCTTTTGCAATAGTTGGGATGTTTGGACTCCATTAATCTATACACACCTTTCACCATTCTGTGTTGCTAAATATCATACCTCAAACACAGATCAAATCTAAATATGCAACTAAAAGAACCTATAAAATGTTCCTTTTCCCACTCATTAAACTGAAGTTTCAACTCATTGAAGTATTGCTGACTTTAAGTCAAAGTACCTATCATAATAGATCACAATTTTTTAAAAGACAGTAGGTGCATCACACAGCTATTTGTAATCACTTATGTTCTAATTAGCTATATTGGCTTACTTTTTGTATATAAATGTTTGGAAAAACTTGTAACTATGGCCTTATTAGTCAGTGCCGTTTCACTGACTAAAACAGTATCATCACTTGTATATTTATAAATATACTCCAGCTCTAACAGCAATCTATATGTAAATATAGGATAACTGACTTATGTAGGAGTTAGTACAATAAACAATGTATTTTTTCTATTGTGGTACAGTTACAAACACCTACTCTAGCATGGAAGAATGTATTAATCAGTTACCCTATTAGACCAGAGTCCTTTAAACACTTATGTACACTCTTCACTTTAAACAACAGGCAAGAATTTCTTACACCATAATTTCTGGACCGCCACAGCTACAGTACCACTTTTATATCACTTTAAAACATACATAAATCTAATTTTTAAACATTCTATTTTGCAGCAGTAGCTGCATGGGAATAGGACTGTTACTACTGTTATTATTACTGATTTGCTACTTTTCACCAATACCTCCTACGCTCTCTCTCAAAGGGCAGAGCAAAGAGCTCATTTGCCAGTGAAAACCCTTATAACAATGCTATTATCAGAGCTCTCAGAATGCACAACATGTAAATTAAATAAAAATATAGGTAGCTGACAAATCTGGCATTTCTTGTAAGTACCAAATATTATTCTAGAGCGTACTATTACAACTTCTATCCAATCACCTCAAAACACCCCAAAAATGCAGGTGTTGTTATCCTTATCTCATTTTAGGCATGAAGAAACATAAGGTCAAGAGGAATTAAATCACTTGCTCATACAGGAGAAACTAGAAAGCCTGGACTTTACTGTTCCAGTTCACTGGATTCGTACTGACTGCAAGTATACCAAGAAAAGTGAAGCATCTTTTCAGAGTGTTGCAGAGCCAGGGATGCCACTGTAACTAGATGTCTCATAAGATAAATACAGAATTTACAGATCTGTCATACAAAACAAGAAAGCAAATGTCAAGCAGTAAGTATAGTCCTGCATACCTATAAATCTAACTTATGCAGAAGGCTCTAACAAAATAGATCAGGTGTTTTCAACCTTTTTTTAAACAAGTGTACCCTTTCTGCCTCAAAGTTTCAGCTCATGTATACTCCTTTATATTTTTTTCTTGGTTTGGGGGGGGGGGGGGGG